AAAAAATACAATGGCTAAAATATCTACTTTATAACTAAATTTTTTTCAAGCAAAAAATCACTTATAAAATAAAAGTTCACTTTTATGTAAAATAATTTACTTTTAAAGTAAAAATACTATTAATAAGGCAAATTTTTACTTATAAAATATAAAAGGTTACTAATAAATGAAAAATCACTTATGCATAAAAAATATTTATAAGCGCAAAATTAACATATAACGAGAATCGAAACCCTATATTTATATAGAATTATTGGGGATACATATGACAATAATTTCTAAAATTGTATGGTACAATTGTCATTCACCAATAACTTACCATTTACAATACTCTCCTTGAATGATTCATTACAAAATATCTGTCTTGTTAAAACCTTGTTTGATAAAAACTCAATTGGACAAAAAAAATCAAACAAAGAAAAAAGAGTACAATTATTTTGGAGTATTAAAGATAAATACTGCCTCTTTAAAACCTTGCTAGGAAAATCTAATGGGATAAAACCTAAGAGAATGAAAAAGAGTTGTCGATGAGGGGGACTATAACTACGCTATAAATTTTTGAATCAACGTATTCCAATCTTGTGAACCAATTTCTTGAATGTAGATATTGGCAGTGTTTTTGTAAATAAATCAGTCACATTGTCACTTGAATGAATTTATTGAATATTAATGTCGTCATTTTTCTGAAGTTCGTGTGTGAAAGAATTTTAGAGAAATATGATTTGTCATGTCACTTTTGATATAATCTCATTTGATATAATCTACATAATGCTTGGATATGATGAATCATGTTCCTCAACCTACACATTCTCATCTTGCTTCATGGATTGCAAAAATTTCAGAATAATTTAAAAATATTCTTATCAAGGATTGTTTTACATATCTCCATAATATAACCGTTCCTCCACGTGTAAAAAGTATCATGTTTGTGATTTAACTTTATATGGGTCAGAGAGATAACCTGCATCTGCATNTTGAGGATGTTGCTGGCAATGATTGCTTTACAGATCTCCATGATATAGGCGTTCCTCCACGTGTAAATACGTATCTTGTTTGTGATTTAGCTTTATGGTGGTCAGAGTGATAACCTGCATCTGCATATCCCACTAAAGGATATCCCGACTTTTGAGAATAAAATAATCTCAAATCAATAGTACCCTTTAGGTAACGAAAAATATCTTTAACACAATTCCGATATTTTTTTGTTGGTGTAAAATCATATCTTACAAGGAGATTTATAGAAAAAGTTATTCAGGTCCAGTACATAAGTTAATACTCCAATTGCATTAAAATATGGTACTTCAGAACCAAGAACATTTTCTCCATCTTCAAATGAACGAAAATGATCATTTTTCACATCACATGATCGAACAACCATAGGTAATGCAAATAAATGAGCATTATCCATATAAAAGCTTTTTAATACTTTTTTCTGTATATATAGATCGATGAACAAACAATCATTTTGAAAAATGTTCAATCTACAACTTGAGATAATTTGATTTTTTCCAAATCTTTCATCCCAAATTCATTTTTCAAATAATTTATAATTTTGTGGAACTTTTCAAAAGTTCCAATTTAATTGAAGTCATCAACATAAACTACCACAATTACAAAAACAATATTTATTTTCTTTACGAAAGCACATGGTCAGATATCTTCATTTTTATATCCTTCCTTAAACAAGTATTCGCTATGGCAATTATACCACATGCTTCATTTTATTTGTCCAATCATTACTTCGACTGATATACTTCAATACATTTATTTCGATATCCTTGCTATACGAAGCGGTACATTATGCATAAAAATATTGCCGACAACTTTTTCTTTTCTTTTTCGATTTTATTTTCTTTTCACATAATAACATAACTTATTGAGATATTTCAATTTTCATTATTTTAAATACTTGAACCTCTACTGAGGTTTTATAATATGTTATACTAATTAAGATTCCATTTTTGTTTGGAGGGTTTTGTAATAAAATCAAATATCATCACGTTTCAAGCTTGTCATAAATTTATCAAATATAATATTAGTGAATTGTCCTTTCAGGAATCAATTCGAGTTTAAACATTTAAAACTGATGTGTGATATTTTTAATCTCTTTGGTCAGTGAATGCATCTAAATGAATTATCCTTCGAACTTTTTGTTTGAATTGTCTTTTGCGAAGATTTAGATAATGATGCATTTGTACATTATTTTCATCTTCTTAATTTTTCCCCATAACGTTGAGAGAATTGCCAAATCAAATTGACAATCATTTTTTCAGAGTTATAAAATATCACCCATTTGGAATAATGGTTCATACTNTCTTAATTTTTCCCCATAATGTTGAGAGAATTGCCAAATCAAATTGACAATCATTTTTCAGAGTCATAAAATATCACCCATTTGGGATAATCGTTCATACTACATATTTATTCTCAACATTCTTTACATTCCATTTCAATGTAATGTTGTGAATTAATTGTACATATATCGCACTATCAAATAATTAGATGAAGAAATTAAACTCTAACAATAAGCCAATTATAATGGGGTGAACTTGATGTTGGCATGATGCATTCTCTAAACAGAAATTGAAGGTATTTTGTTCTCAATTAAATTAATTGGAGGTGTAACATTCATCGACATCTCAACTAACACTCGTTAAAAAATTGGAATTTAGGATCACTAGTGTTAATAAGACACGCCGTCTTGATTGTATAATTTGAAAATTATGCTCATAATTTGAGCAGTATTTTAGCAAACTTCAGGTTGCAAATATCATGCAATCATCTAATATTTGTATCAAATCGATTAGATACAAACAATATCTAGATGATCAACGTGATGGGTGATAGGGCCCCATTTATCACTCTAATTAATTTTCAAAAATATAGGAAATTTAGTCCATATTTTAATTATTGATGTATACTGATCAATTGTCGATAAATAGAACAAAGAATATATAGAAAATCATTGGATTGAAGAATCTTCTGATTCTTCGTTGAATATCCATTTGAATTTTAATTTCGTATCATTATTGGTCTAGTGATGGTCAAAGTCAAACTAATTGTGCCAAACTATAAAATCAAATTGAACTTCTGGTTCAATATAAAATATAATTCAATTATTTAATTTCGAAGAATATGATTAAATATTATATAATCATATATCATTCAAATAGTCGAACTAATCAATGTCCCCTTGACATTAGTTATATGTTTTCCTTTAGAGATAAACATTAATTCAAAATGATACATTCTTCGAAATATGTACTACTTCAAGAGCATATTGTATTTTATTATTGTTTTTTTAAGAGCAATATGTCAATATCCTTTTGAAATTGAACATTATAATTTATACTCTTCAAGAGTAATCAAATATTATTGTAATAAAATTATTTAAGAATTTACTCTTCTAGAGTGAAAACATAATTTATATTAAATCATATTTAATTATTTTCTTCGGGAGAAAGTAAAATTTACCTAGAATATTTTTCTATAATAATGTTCTACTTCAGGAGCACTAACAAACTATTTATAATCGATAGTCTATGATTAATATTCTTCTAGAATATTAATTATAATGTTATGCGACTTCAGGAGAAACAACATGATAAATTATTAATTTAAAGTTTATAATAGAACAACTAAAGTTATTTAATCGGGTTAAAGATATTTAATAATTATCATGTATATATTTTGCAAATATAGAGATGAAAAAAAATT